TATCAATGTTGGACACAATCTTACGTTAGTTTTTATTTTTCAGTTTGTGTTGCTATTAAAGCATGTTTTTTATAGTTTTTCAAACTTTTTTCATTTTATTTTAATTTCGAATAGGGTAGATATAACTCAAATCTTCGAAACACCCTGGCCGAGCATTATTAAGATTGAAATTCAAGCTCATGAAATCTTATGTTTGCAACCCTTTTGCGATGAAAGACTGAGGACCTGGTAAAGTAATATAAACCGGCCTATAACAGCTTTGACAAATCAAAACGAAACCCCAAAAATTTGTTTGAGTACTCTGGTAATGTTTTACATTCATAGTGAGCAATTATTACTCTTTACTATTGGGAAAAACAGATTGAAGGGAATACTAGGTACTAAGCAAAGTATATGTTTCGATTTAAAGTAGATACTTCTATGGCGAAGCACCTTCGATATATATTATACTTACAGCTTGCCAAATTTAGGAAGAGCTTTCTGAATTCCGTTATGGCCCCGCCCACTAGATCTGCGTTCGTTAGAAGACAGTGAGAGAGAGAGAGAAGAGAGAGAGAAATATTTCTCAAGTCCCTTCCTAGATTTGACAAACTGTAGTAGTGAATACTTTTGAAGCATTAGTCCTATATTTCATTCTATGTTCGACGATTTGTTTCAGGTCGTACTGAGCTGCACCATCAAAAAGGATTTCGAATACAACAAAGTGATGCCAACTTTTCACCACTGGAAAACCGGAGACAAGAAATTCGGATTGACGTTTCAAGCTGCCGCGGACGCCAGGGCGTTTGACAAGGGCGTCAGGACGGCGGTCGAAGACTTGCTTGACGGTAAGAGGACTTCTTGAGCTACCTCGTATATGTTTGGAGGAATGAACAGTGTCAATTATTGTTTCGAAGGACTCCAATATCAGTTTGGGTTTCAGGCCGAAAAAGATACAAATGATACGTTCAAATAACTATATTGTGAGATTTTCACCGCAGCATGTGTTTTACCATACCATAGCTTCCTCAACATGTGTTGCCCTTTACAATAGCTTCCTCGAGCGGTATGAACACACCTCAATAGCTTCCTCGGTCGTGTTCATAGAGTAGTAACACGCCTCAATAGCTTCCTCGGCCGTGTTCATTCAGTATGAACACGCCTGAATAGTTTCTTCCGCTGTGTTCATTCAGTATAAACACGCCTGAATAGCTTCCTCGGTCGTGTTTATTCAGTATGAGCACGACTGAATAGTCTCTTCGGGCGTTTTCATACAGTATGGACACACCTTAATAACTTCCTCGGTCCTGTTCATACAGTATGAACACGCCTCAATAACTTCCTCGGTCGTGTTCATTCAGTATGAACACGACTGAATATCTTCCTCGGTCGTGTTCATTCAGTATGAACACGCCTCAATAGTTTTCTTAGGCGTTTTCATACAGTATGAACACGCCTTAATAGCTTCCTCGGTCGTGCTCATACAGAATGAATTCCATTATACCTGAAGCTATCAAATTCAGTCAGGTATCCATCAAATCTACATAGAAAGTATAGAACTGTATCTAGAATATATCTTTTTTTTCGGGTCCTGACCAATTTTTTTACCAGCTTTTTTTTTCTCGAAAAACAGATTGCTTTTTTTGTGCTCAAACATTCTTGTATCTTGCCCGCCATGCTGAAAATAATGCTAAACAATAATGCGACATTATTATTAAAGCTTTTGTGGAAAAAATAAAATTTGACGTAACACATAATTGCGTGGGGAGTTTCAATACTTCTCGAACCAACTTGCATAGCATCCGGAGGAACTAGGCTTCTCCTTCGATTCTGGGAAAACCGCATCACAAAATGTGTAGATTACCCACAATATGGAAATAAAATTTAATTTTATCGAATGAAAAATTCTTGCTACAAGTTGAAGGAACTCAACTTCCTTCCTCTGCGTACCGCAAAACTAGATAAATTAACGAATGCATTACAAAAGTCCACAAACACAAAACTAGACATGGTGAGATTAATATAGAACAAAACTCTTCATCAGTACTCTGTTGAGTTCGGTTTGTCCCAAAAAACGAAGCATACTTTGAAAATAACACGTTGAGTAAGAGATTTTGATTTATTTATTTCATTATCGCTCGTAAATATTATTTTTGGTTTTATTTTTTGGCAGTTTTGAGCAGGATATCGAATATTTATTGAATTTTTGAATTATCTAAATTTTTATCTATTTCTATCCGTGAAATACCCCTGGAACTAAGTCCTCCAACTTAGTGTTTAAGTAATATTTCTTATCTGCTCTATTTGTGTTTTTTTCAATGCTTTCCTTCCTACTACGGGATTTCTACATGGTGAGTTTTCATATTTTTTTATTTGGTTATAACATGATTGAAAAACAACAAACTTCTGTTCATACTTTCCAATACAGTTCTTCAAAAATATACGAAATCACGAAGTCAGTTTAGAATATACTTTCTCGCTCGTTCTGGTAAATTTCTATATTTAGAATGTTCTTCAACAAACGTTAATTTTGAGTTAATTGGTAATTATTATGTTAGCTCTATTAGCCTTTTAAAACTATTGTACTCATTGACCTCTAAACGTTCTGGTGTTTTGTTTATTTTACTTGGATCGTTCTACTGTATTAAGAATTCCACAAATATCGATTGACGAAATGCTGCTGAGAATACGTTTTTTGTTTTGATCTATGAATTGCTGCAATTTTGAAAACGTTCCTACATATCAGAATCTTCTAAATACCTACCGGAAGATAACTTCTACTGATAACACGATGAATATTGAATTATACCTCACAAAGGACAGTCTCGCAGATGTTTTTCGTCCAGCAGCAGCTTGGACCTGCTGCTGGATGAAAGAGAAGCCCATAGGACAGTCTGGCAGATGTTTTTCATCCAGCAGCAGCTTGGTCCTGTTGCTAGATGACTATGAATCACAGAGGGCAGTTTTTTTTGTCCAGCATTAGCTTGGACCTGTCGCTGAATGAACGGGAAGCACATAGGACAGTCTTGCAGAAGTTTTTTGGCCAGCAGCACCTTGGTCCTACTGTTGGATGAACGAGAAGCACATAAGACTGTCTTTCAGATGTTTTTCGTCCAGCAGCAGCTTGGATCTGCTGCTGGATAAACGAGAAGCACATAGGACTGTCTGGCAGATGTTTTTCATCCAGCAGCAGCTTGGTCATACTGCTAGATGACCATGAATCAAAGAGGGCAGTTTTTTTGTCCAGCAGTAGCTTGGTCTTGCTTCTAGATGAACGGGGAGCACAGGGGCACCTTGTTTCTACTGTTGGATGAACGAGAAGCACATAGGACTGTCTTGCAGATGTTTTTCGTCTAGCAGCAGCTTGGGCCTTCTGCTGGATGAACGAGAAGCACTTAGGTCAGTCTGGCAGATGTTTTTCATCCAGCAGCAGCTTGGTCATGCAGCTAGATGACCATGAATCACAGAGGACAGTTTTTTTTGTCCAGCAGTAGCTTGGTCTTGCTTCTAGATGAACGAGGAGCACAGGGGACAGTCTTGAAGATGTTTTTCTTTCAGCACCACCTTGGTCCTACTGTTGGATGAACGAGAAGCACATAGGACAGTCTTGCAGATATTTTTCGTCCAGCAGCAGCTAGGACCTGCTGCTGGATGAAGGAGAAGCACATAGGACAGTCTTTCAGATGTTTTTAGTTCAGCAGCAGCTTGGACCTACTGTTGGATAAACGAGAAGCACAAAGGACTGTCTTGCAGATGTTTTTCGTCCAAGGGTAGCTTGGACCTACTGCTGGATGAAGAAGAAACATCTGTAAGACTATCCTCTGAGGGTATCTTGCATGAATGTCTGTCTGATTATAAATCCAAGTCCAGCATGGTATTACCCTGGAAAGTATTTGTCGTCTGACAACCATTTACCAGATTCCACTGTCTATGAACCTAGGGACAAGTTGTTATCTCAATATGTATGTTTCTCTACTCGATACAGTCATCAGACTCATTTTAATTATTGTGTTGCAATTTGTTTATATTCCTACTTGAAAATTTAAAAAAAGCTGCAGCTGTTCATCCATTTTGATTTGTCTTATTCTGTACATTTTTGCCGCGGACGCCAGGGCGTTTGACAAGGGCGTCAGGACGGCGGTCGAAGACTTGCTTGACGGTAAGAGGACTTCTTGAGCTACCTCGTATATGTGTGGAAGAATGAACAGTGTCAATTATTGTTTCGAAGGACTCCAATATCAGTTTGGGTTTCAGGCCGAAAAAGATATAAATGATCCGTATTTTACCATACAATCGCTTCCTCAACACGTGTTGCCTGTTACAACAGCTTCCTCGAGCGTTATGAACACACCTCAATAGCTTCCTCGGTCGTGTTCATAGTATGAGCACGCCTCAATAGCTTCCTAGGTCGTGTTCATAGAGTATTAACACGCCTAAATAGCTTCCTCGGTCGTGTTCATTCAGTATGAACACGCCTGAATAGTGTCTTCGGCTATGTTCATACAGTATAAATACGCCTGAATAGCTTCCTCGGTCGTGTTTATTCAGTATGATCACGCCTGAATAGTTTCTTCGGCTGTGTTCATACAGTATAAACACGCCTGAATAGCTTCCTCGGTAGTGTTTATTCAGTATGAACACGCCTGAATAGTTTCTTCGGGCGTTTTCATACAGTATGGACACGCCTCAGTAACTTTCTCGGTCCTGTTCATACAGTATGAACACGCCTCAATAACTTCCTCGGTCGTGTTCATTCAGTATGAACACGACTTAACATCTTCCTCGGTCGTGTTCATTCTGTATGAATTTCCTCGGTCGTGTTCATTCAGTATGAACACGCCTCAATAGTTTTCTTGGGCGTTTTCATACAGTATGAACACGCCTTAATAGCTTCCTCGGTCGTGCTCATACAGTATGAATTCCATTATACCTGAAGCTATCAAATTCAGTCAGGTATCCATCAAATCTACATAGAAAGTATGGAAGTGTATCTAGAATATTACTTTTCTAGCAGCTTGGATCTGCTGCTGGATGACCATGAATCACAGAAAACAGTTTTTTTGTCCAGCAGTAGCTTGGTATTGCTTCTAGATGAACGATGAGCACAGGGGACAGTCTTTCAAATGTTTTTCGTCTAGCAGCAGCTTTGTCTTGCTGCTGGATGAAAGAGAAGCCCATAGGACAGTCTGGCAGATGTTTTTCATCCAACAGCAGCTTGGATATGCTGCTGGATGACCATGAATCACAGAATACAGTTTTTTTGTCCAGCAGTAGCTTAGTATTGCTTCTAGATGAACGAGGAGCACAGGGGACAGTCTTGCAGAAGTTTTTTTGCCCAGCAGCACCTTGGTCCTACTGTTGGATGAACGAGAAGCACATAGGACTGTCTTTCAGATGTTTTTCGTTCAGCAGCAGCTTGGACCTACTGTTGAATGAACGAGAAGCACAAAGGATTGTCTTGCAGATGTTTGTCGTTCAGCAGCACCTTGGTCCTATTGTTGGATGAACGAGAAGCACGTAGGACTGTCTTTCAGATGTTTTTCGTTCAGCAGCAGCTTGGACCTACTGTTGGATGAACGAGAAGCACAAAGGATTGTCTTGCAGATGTTTGTCGTTCAGCAGCAGCTTGGACCTACTGCTGGATGAAGAAGAAACATCTGTAAGACTATCCCCTGTGGGTATCTTGCATGAGTGTCTGTCTAATTATAAATCCAAGTCCAGCATGGTATTACCCTGGAAAGTATTTGCCGTCTGACAACCATTTACCAGATTCCACTGTCTATGAACCTAGGGACAAGTTGTTATTTCAATATGTATGTTTCTCTACTCGGTACAGTCATCAGACTCATTTTAAATACTGTGTTGCAATTTTTTTCTATTCCTACTTGAAAATTTAGAGAAAGCTGCAGCTGTTCATCCATTTTGATTTGTCTTATTCTGTACATTTGAATGATCAACTTTGAGCTCTTCAAGCACCATAAACTTCAGCTGGTACGTCTGTATAACCGAATTTCTTTTAATTTTAGGTTTGGCGGATACTTCCCCCTCAACTCCTCTGCCGAAATGCATAAAAGAAGTGGGAGATGACGACGTTTTTATGGTGAGTAGGTCTTTATTAAGCGGTGTTTTCGTTGATATTGTTTTTTTTAAAGAGAGCCCACATTTCAAGTCGCATTTATATAACAGGAAAATATCTTTGAAAGTTTTGATTTTCAATTCAAAATTGAAGCAGAAATCAAATTCGAGATAATTGAACCTTTCAATATTTTTGATTCCATTAACGTTTTATGATGGCATTCATTATAATTCAAAAATAAGGAATTCACTCGTATCTCTCTGAAAGACGTTATTTCCACAATAATTAAGGATGAAACGTAGTTATAAAATAATTATGAGAGATGTTTTTGAATGAAGAAAGTACTGCTTGAAATAATATAATATTTATATTAAAAACTGTAAGGATTGTGACAAAAATCTATGGGTTAGTATAGTAAGTAATGTGTGACTTTGTCCTTTTAAAACATGTTCGATAGAAACCGTTATGAAGAATAAATATTATATTCCTTATTGTTTCTGCAAGGTTCTCCAAAATAAACAAGAGTATGAATGGGAAAAACGGGTTCCAATAGGTACATGTGTACCAGATTCCCTGGTATTTTTTAATTTCAAACCATAATTTTTCAGACCCTCGATCTTCCGCAAGATCCCAAAGACTCTAGAAGTTCCAGCGATTCCAGTAACAAGGGGTCGGAACATTTCCATAGGTTAACCTACATTGGACGTGAGAAACCTCCCGAACCTACGTATGATCCCAACAAAGGCACGAAAGGTAAGAAATTTATTGCTATAAATCTATTGTAAAAAAAGAATACATTTATATATGTATACAAGTGCGAGTTTTGCCCAATGGTTAATCTTGAGTATGGTTAATGTAGATTATCACATTTTCTTGTATCATTCTTGTGTTAGAATTAACTTATTTCTCTGACACCAGGATGAAAATTGATTTACAACCATTTCCAGTTTAACTGCAAGCTGTTCTGCATCCTGATCGGATATTGTTATCGTTGTGTCGTCGGCAAACATGGTAACATGAACGTTTTCTAAATATTGTGGAAGATCATTTACATAGAGCAGAAACAGCAGTGGCCCAAGAACTGAACCCTGTGGTACCCCAAGTTTCACAGCCTGACTGTATGAAATTGAATTATTGCATCTCACTATCATGGTTCTATCTGTCATATATGATTGTATCCACTTTATTATACTGGCTGGAAGTCCTAGAGGCGCCAATTTATCTATTAAAGTTTCAATACACACTGTATCAAAGGCTTTTGACAAGTCGAAAAATAATGATAAGACATATTTGTTGTTGTCAATCTCTTTATATATATAATTAAGCAAGTGACACAAGGCTGTTTCAATCGACCTGTTTTGCCTGAAACCATGCTGAGAAGTACTTACTAATTTGTTCTTTTCTAAGTGATAAATCACTCTTGTAGACCCTTTTTTTCAAACAATTTCGATAAAGAACTGAGAAGAGAAATTTGCCTGTAGTTGTCAACTACTTTTAGGTCACCTTTTTTGTGCAGAGGAATTACCAATGCTTTTTTAAATTCATCTGGAAGGAACCCTACTCTACTATTAAAGATTTTCAAAAGCGAACTGTTAAAATATATTCATGATGGATATTGTGTATATACATTTTGTTGATTATATTATATTTTAAGTTAGCTAACCTGCATATTAGGGAATCCTAATTTAATAAAAAAAATTGAATAACAAGATGTATTAGGTTTAACTCCTACTATGTTTCTAATGTAGAGCGGATTTAGAACATCCGCCCCACTATCTGTAGAGTAGGGAGGGTGAGCACTTAGGCCACATGTGACTCATTGTACATCCTCCCGAGCCTCTCCTTTAAAGGAAGGTAGACAAGTCACTAGGAGACATCTCCTTTATATCGGCAGGTATAGGCCAAAACTAGCCGAACACACACTCTCTCTCCAGAGGGGTCAGACCCTCCGCCCCCCTATCACTGGTGTTTGAAAAGTTTCAGAAATGGTGGGAAAAGTGGGAAATGGTTAGAACAGTGTAAATTTTTTCTGTTTCACTTTCTGAATAACCCTCACATGAATTATTCACATATTTCTAAAGAATTCTTGCTTTCATCTTACAATAACACTTTCCATGGCTATGCGATAACAAAATCCTCTTTTTATTCCAGACGTATCGGTGACCGGTTGCGGTGGCGAGAACTATCCCTATGTCCAACTGACGGCCGTTCACGAGTACATCTACCCCGCGGAGGACCCCCAGAAGCCGCCCCTGATGCGTCGTGATTCCTCCTCCAGTCTGAAGAAGTGCGCCATAGAGATGCGTTCAACCTCTCACCCGCAGCAGCTGCAACCGCCGCTGCCGCTGAAAGCGAAGCCGAAGGGCAAGACTCGGTGCCGGCACTGCCACGAACTCTTCAGCGACGACGAGAACCCGCGCGGCGCGTGTCGGTACGCCCCCGACGCCGTCAAGTCGGCCATCGACCGCGTGACGTGCATCGGCTGTGCGCAGTGCATCGACTACCACTGCGCGTCCGACGAGGAAGGCGATTTCGCGCAGCACCCGTGCGACTGCGCCAATGACGACAACTGCGCGAAGCGGTGGTGCTGTCTGACGTTCCTTTCGGTGTTTGTGCCGTGCCTGTGGCTCTACCCGCCGCTCAAGGGCTGCCACTGGTGCGGCGTCAAGTGCGGCATGTGCGGCGGCAGACACGCTATGTGATCCATCGATCCCATTTTGCGATATTAGGCGTGAGGTTCTCGCCGCGTTCGATCGTGGTGCGATGCGACGGATTGAGAGCTGGACCCGGTTCGTTGACGGTCGTTGTCAAGAGGGTGGCGGGTCGCGGAGGGGATAGGTGCGCCAATGCGCTCTCTAAATACTTGAAATAACCTTTCGATGTTATTGTCGAACGACCTATCTAATAGCATGTAACAACTTTCTATACAACCCCTGTATTAGCAGCGAACAACTTCTTGCCCTCCCCCTGTAATATCGAAGAAGAACTTTTTATACCCCCTCCGTAGTGTTTCTGGACAACTTTTTGCATTTTTCTCGTATTGACACTAGTTATCTTTTTGCACTTCTCCAATAAAAACATCATATAAATGTTTGCACCCTCCCTGTGATAGTATTGGTCAACTTATTGCACCACCCCTTAATAGTACCGGACAACTTTTTGCTTTACCTCTCTAATGGCATTGGAAAACTTCTATTACTACCCTCAAGAAGCAGAAGACAACTTTTTGCACTTTCCCGTAATAGTACAATTTTCAACATTCTCCTGAGTTAACAACAGATAACTTGTTGCAGACTTCACATGATAGTTTTGCACAATTTTTTGCACCTTTCCCTACCAGCACCAGACAAATTTTTGCTCTCTCGTAATAATAGCTTCAGTCAAATTTGTGTACCCCAACCATAATAGCACTGGACAATTATTTGCTCTTTACCCCTAAAAGCAGTGGACTTTTTGCACTGCCCTCGTAATAGTACTGTACAATTTCCTAATAGAAATAGCCAACTTTTTGCAACCACCCTTTAATAATATCAGAGTAGGCTTTACAGAGTGAACATTCTTTAATGAAAAACCTTGCCTTTTTGAACCTACTCTTTACAGTCGAAGGGAGCTGTGAAAGCACTAGTAAAAAGGCAAATTTTTGAGCTCTCCCTAAACATCCATATAAAGTGGAACATCACCTTTTTGATTAAACTTTCAACTTTGAAGTACATTGAGATAAATCAAGATCGTTATTTAAATGTCATAGAGTTATTACATTCAAAGATTAGCAACCATTTTACAGACCGAATAAATATTTCTCTCAAGAAAATAAGGCGACAAAATTATCTTCTGATACATTTATCAGACGTCTTCAGTAAAAGCAATGAATAACATTTTATATGCCCCAGCAATAGCATCGGATAACTTTTGCATTCCCCCCGTAATAACTCTGGACATCTTTTCGAACTACCCGCGTAACAGTAGTGCGAAACTTTTCGAATTATGACGTTACCTTTCATTTTAATGAACCTGCTACCATGCTCATACTATTAAAAAATACCAAATAAGATACAGGCAGTAATTATCTGTATTAGAAATATGACGAAGGGAAACCTTAAAGCTATCAGGCCTTCCAATAAACTCTTAATGTTATTCCTGTAACATTCATTTTTCAAATGTTTACATACGACTTCAGCTCTCTTAAAATATTCTTTTATTTCCACTGTGATATATTATTTCTCTCCCTACTTTTGTAGCAAAAACAATCGTGTCACATACCCTTGCTGTTTGTATATACGACAGTTAGCTCTCTCAAAGCCTTTTTGAGCTCAATATTGAGCTGACAATTTATCATTCGCCCCTCGTAATGAATAGACAACGTTGTTACCACTTGTAGCAGAATTTTCAATAACTGGCGCTTTTGTTGCTCCATATCAAGCTTTATATTTTTATTGCTGGCGTAATGAACATGAGTTTTCATTTTCAGGTTCAACGCTTCTTCTACAGGGGTTGTTTGAAAAGTTTGCATTCTGTTTCGTGAAATTAAACGCACCTACTCCCTCGGCACCCTGTATATATTGTTGCCGATAGATGAGAGTACAAAATATACCTAATAATGATAGTTTAGAGATTATTCACCGAGTTTATGCAGGCGTTGATCTGAATCGAGTACCTGTTGATTTTATTGTGTTCGTGTTTTTCTTTTTAATTTTTCTCTTCGACGAATCCGGTCCAGCCTGGTTAATATCTCGAAAGCGTCTGTGATTTGATACTAAAAGCCTTCTCATAGTATTAGTATTTTCTATGGTTTCCACGTTTCTCGAAAACTTTACGCGTAATATCGTGAAATACTGACAGCTAGTGCTCAACGTGTTGAAGGTTGTGAACACTATGAAAATTCAAGTGTAAACACTTATTCGTATAATAAATGAAAAGACTGTTTGTTGATTTTTGAAAAATGAAATGGCTGAAATTTTAATCCTGTTTATTTATTTTGTAATGGTTGTGAAGAGTTGTTTGTTAAAACCGACACGCAAAAAATGGTCAAAGAATGAGCCTAAAACAATACTTCAATATGTTGATTGATTCTTGGAACTATTCATCATTGACACTTTAGTAACCATAAATTTTGGATCACCGACACCCTGAATATATTATAACGGTGAAGTTTTTATGTCAATTCACTGTAATAACAGTTAAAGACGGGTCTAAACAACAAGCAGAGAATTTCTGTAGTGGACATTCATACAATAATATAAAAGACACACAAGATAATTGGTCATAGGTAATTCAGGATTTGTCGTGCCAATTATTGATAATTGATACTTTGAATGGTCAACTCATTACAGTTAAATAGTTGATGTCTGTTCAAGTTACATGGTATAAATGATTACCATTACCATATTACCATTTTTCAAACCAATCGATTATTGGTAATTACCAATTAGAACTTTAAGGAATAATGGAATGGTCATCATAAAAAAAAACAATTTGCAAGTATTGATATTACTTCAAAACTGGAAGTACGTATATTGGATACTTTATTTTTTTGGAAACTATCTTGTAATTTCAGAAATTATAGATAAGGAAAGCTTTCACTTGACAAATAATCAGTTTCGTTAATATCCTGAACTATTGAATCATAATAGAAGCAGACAAGTTTAATAAAAAATATTTCTTGGTAAAGTGCAGTTCATTATGAATGATTTTGATATAATTTTTGACACAGATGAGAAAATCTGTCAGCGACGACTATATAATCAGGTAAATGATAGGTAAATAACGATTTGAAGTGTCAAATTATTGTTAATAGATATTTAAAGTTGTGGGTCATTACCTGTAAAAAGGTACCTTTCAACCCACGGAATTTCATAAAGTAGATGCCCTGAATGGATAACATTTGGTAACTCATTTTAGAAAGTGCATCATATATAACCAATTTTAAAGTTTCAAAATTTTTATCATCCTCAAGCTGAAAATTGAAAATGTTCAAACTTCAGGTAATTACCTTTTAAAACAGGCAATTACATGTTTTAAAAATATGAATCATGGTTAATTACAACAGGTAATTTCCGGGTTTAAAATGTAATTTATTCATAGGTAATTACATATAAAACGGGTAATTATCTGTTTTAAAACAGGCCAATACATAAAACAGGTAATTGCCTGCTTTTTAAAATCGGGTTTTGAATGTTATTACCCTAAACAGGGCATCGCCCAAAACAGGTAATTGCCTGTTTTAAAACGATTAAAGCGATTTATAGGTAATTGGTAATTGCTGATAGTAATGGAAGGTTTTTGAAAAATTCATTGTATTTACATCAGCGTCAAGTTAAACAATAAAAAATGTTTCTTCCTCTTTCTTTGGAATCTCAGTAACAGGTAATGGGTAGTTTATTTCAAAGTATGAAGCAGAATATATACCTAAATGACATTATATTATGGCTGACAGCTAGTTATTATATTTATCAATGGCTAGCAAAATAGTCAACAAGAAAATTTACATTGCAGCTTCTATTTCATCTGTTGTTTACCAATAATAGATATGAAACATTTCAAACAGAAAAAGTATGATTAATGTATTTGAAATGTGATGTATCAGTTGAAGATTTTTTGGAAACTTTTGTGTTCCACGTTGGCTTAAAATTTATGATTTGGAGTGTTGGTTACATTCAATTGGCATTTCAGTGTGTCAATTATGCGCCATTACGACCAGTCGAGTTTGTGTCGATTATTGATAAACGGCTCTTTACGAATCTGTAAGGTGCTTTTGCAGTTGGACCTGGAGAAATTTAACCATGTTGATGTGTTCCATTCGATTTACCGCTTTATATATAATTTATGTACTGTTAATGATGTGGAAGAATGAAACTCCAATCTGTTATTCATCTGAAAACTATTTCGAGCTGCCAACTGTATATACCGTGGTATATAGTATTGACAATACGGCTAGTTGAAAAAAGGAAAACGGTGAGGAACCTGAAGAATAATTTCGGGGATATCAATAGGGGAAATCAGTGTTTTATATTTGAATAGTTGTATATATGAAAAAAGATGACTCTCGTGTCGTGGTTCGGGATCCGTTCTCGAATGGCACTCCTTCAATTCTGAGAACCGATTTCCGTAGCGCGAGAAATTCCTTCTGTGTTGGCAGGCAACTGACCTCTGTAAATGCTCTGTGAGATTCAAGTAAAATGTAATACATATAAACGATATCGATAACTGTTGAATGTGTCCAAAGCCGTAGGATAATGCCCAGAAAATATCAGCATAATTTTGCCGACCGAACGCCTTCGTTTGTCTCCGTTGTGTACAATTTCGGTTGATGTAAAAACGCCCGTAAAACTGGCATTTCCCAAGCTAGGGCTCGGCTTGGGGTGTGCCACACTTTTGCCAGGCTATCAGCCAAGCAAGTTCCTCCTCGGAGGGACTTGCTTCGCCGATTCCAATATTCATTTAGGTTATTTTCGTTATTTTTTATATCGCGTTGGAAATTATGTTGGAAAAATGTACAGGATCGTGGAAATTGGAATCGATCCAGCTCGATACGAATTTTCCACGGTCGTTTTCTTATTATTGCACGAGTAGAACTTAATAGTTTTTATTGTGTGTATATATATGTCAATAATAAAAGTATGATGGCTTAAAATAAATTGTGTGAATGATATTTTAAATATAAATAAGGAGTAATAAAACAATATGTTACTTTTTTGCGTTTTCTTTTAGAAATACTAAAAATCTACAGAATTTGCTATGGCTGTAGTCGATTGCAATAGAAAATAAACATATATGCTGTTTACGTTAAGAAGAGAATGAAGTCCTTTTTGGTAATTTTGTATATAACAACATTAAAATTCCCACTGAAATGCGTTCAACAGCAATGAAACTAGTAACATTTTATTTTGTAAGTTGCTCAACTGATAGTAAAATTTCAGACGTTGCCGAATCGAAAAAAACTCGAAACCTGTCAGTCTTTTCTTTTCAAAACTAATAATTTCTTTTGATAAGACCTTTGTATATTGAATATGCCTAAAGCATTTTCGAAATAGTCTCAACAAATACTAAAAGTAAGTTATTACTCTCATATAACAGTAGAAACATTACTACTCAAATTCAACTTTGATTTTTTGAAAATTTTATGAGTTGATGCAGCCTTCTAATTAGATTCCAAAAAAATAACTGCAGCGTTATTTTTATAATCTGGCAAACTTGCACTAGTTGATATTTTGACATTTGCAAATTAGCATCTAGAGACAACACTCGCCTGGAAAATTCACAGTGATTTTCAAACAGTTTTTCCAAGTTTATTTTTTTCATTTATGTGAAATATCGAAACGGTCTTGTAAGTGTTTAACGCAATTTGTTGACACCAATAAAAATGTATGTTTAATATTTGTTTCATAAGAAGTTGATAATACATTTATTTATAACAATTTTTCACAAATCATAAGTTATATGATGGAATCGGCTGATACTTAATGAAAATTCATAACTAACGTATGCTAAAAACACTTTATTGTGAGATTTTCACTGGATAGTGTTTCAGGTATTTCTAGCATTGAATAAAAAATCGTCATCATCATAATTTGAAGACTTCTTCATAATACTTTCTCGAACTAAAAAGCTCATGCTCATTTCAATGGGGAATGTTCCTCAATTTGTGTTATTACAGCAAATGCAAGTTTGAACAAAATAAAGTTGAGTTTGATTCATGAGTTTTTCAAATTCATTTCGAACAGTATTCAAATTGATGTTTCAAATGTTGGGTTTTAATTTTTAAAGGGATTTGTTTCTAATTCACATATTGGCAACAGCGCCTAGAATGCTACATCGGAGTTCAGGTTACCTAGATATTCTACTTTAAAAAAGGAAAATTATCTTTATAAATCAACAATTGAGGCAAAATATAAATTATAGTTCAATATCACCTCCGCAAGCCACATAAACAACAGTTGTTTTGTTATTTATTCATATAGAGGAAGATAGGTTAGGTGCACAAAATGTCATGTCACAGAATTTGGAACATAAGTAAACAGAACAGCAGGCCTCTGAAATATGTCATCTTTGTTTGTCTCATACAGGTAACAGATTCATTGTCCTTTATTAGCTATAGCCGATGTTGCCAAATGGTGAAATAGAAACGAATCCCTTTAATTGTTGAATGTATTATTTCATTCCTATGTTTTAAGTATTTAAATAATTTTTTAAAGAAAAAGGTTGAAATGATAAGTTTTAAATGCGTTGTTTTATAGCTCTTTTATGAAAACTACTTGATTTTCGTCAGGAGGAACATTCCCCATTTAGACTGTATGTGGCGAATATTACTTCTTATAAAACGAAACAAAAATACAATCAGTTACCAATTTTATTTTTCTCTTTGATACAAATCGAACAGACATACATACAAAAAACATCCATTATGAATTACTCCTTTAAATAGAATAAGGCTCAACCTACACTTGCACGTCAGATTTTTTGAGGGCATCCTCGATCATCTTCTCAGAGACTTCCCATAGCTGTTTGGCTATATTATCAAAGAAAATAGTTCTGCGGTTGTAATATCTGCAGTCTTTATAGAGAAGTCCTGTTTCATTTTCGAGAGACGGTTCTGTAGCGCAATAGATTATGGTCTGAGCACCCTAAAACAATAAAACAATATAAATTGTATGATACCTTATACAGCACATTCCAGTTTAGCCACCATGAATGAGTCATTTGACACTGAGACCGTGAAAATTAATATTCGGGGAAACAATCCCTTTCAGAAATTCTAAAAATCGACTGCCTTCAAATACGAAAAACAGTGACACTACAAACCTTGGCCACGAAAGCCGTAACCATTTTGTCAAAGCAAATTTGATGTAACAACAAAGGTCAATGTCAGAAAAAATAATCTTCCACATTTTTATTAAATTCCATACTATTAGTTTGTTTCAAAAGTTTTTGCCGTTTTTATGTCATGTGTTTTGCATTACACCATAAAGTTATGTTACCCAACAATCTGCTTTGTTTGAGATCAGTATTAATCTATCATAAGTAAATAAGAAAATGTGCATGATGCTATAAAGTCAATTTCGTTTATATAAAAAGAAAGAAACAGGATAGGCCCAAGAACTGAGCCTTGGGAAACTCCCACATTTATGGATCAATAGTGAAATATTGACATTATCGAATCCATAGTAAAGGAGCACTGATGAAGACGTCTACGACTGATTCTACCTTATGCTTATTATTACCTGCTTTGGGCTTCGCATGAAGAAAAACGCTAGCGGGGCTACTAGAATGAAGTGAAACCACCTCATATAATGCCTGAACAAGCCAGTATATACCCATCCAGGGCAACAAGCGTACACCTTTATTTTCTCCTTCTTGGTTCGTCTAGCAAGCTCTTGTGCGAAATAAATGTTCGCCAGTTTCGAATTGGCATATAAGTTAGTTTTCTTGGCAGCGAAGCTGTTCAGGTCGGACAAGTTTATTTCTCCTCTTTCGTGCAAGGAAGATGCCACGACTACGACTCTGCTGGACTCTGAGAGCAGATCGAGCAACTGCTGAGTGAGATAGAAATGGCCAAGATGGTTCACCCCCATGTGAATCTCAAAACCATCAGATGTCTGTGCCGTCATCTTGCTGGGATATGAAACGCCTGCATTGTTTATCAACAAATGGATTTTATTGTATTTTCTTTTCACTTCATCGGCAAAATGTTTGATTGATTTTAAAGATGCAAGGTCCAACTCCATGGGAACCTGAAAACGAATAAAAGTAATTTGCTTTTGGTTGGTAGATGTGAAAAAACTGCATCAAGGTTTGTCAAGGTTGGCGATTCGACCTATTATCAGGTCATCATGGGAACACTGAAAATGTAGCAACACCATTCATTATATGTATGTATAGTGAAGAGTCTTTATGTTTTCACATTTACTATGAACAACGACTTTGAGTTTTTCAAAACCAAAGGTAAGACTTTTAGCAATATAATTGCGAAGTTATACAAAAAATATCCTATAAAATCAACTCAAGGTTTTAGCAGAACCTCACTTTCATGAATTAAATAAGGTGTCAAGGAACTGGAAGAAATGTAATTTAGATAATAGTGCTTTTACCAGTTTGGGAGAGTTATCTAGGAGCTCAGAAATATGGATGCAGGTGAGCTCAGCCTTCTCAAAGGTCCTGCAGGCCAAGATGACTTCTGCGTCTCTTGAGGCTAGTTCTTTAGTTACCTCGAAGCCTAACCCGGAATTGGCTCCCGTGATAATAGCAACTTTTTTATTCAGAAGCACTTGGTTTCGGCATTTTCCCCATTTTGATTCTCGGTATTTCCTTATAAGAATCAATAGAATTATGGAAGGAACGATGTAGTAAGGCAGAGAATAACCCATTATCCTTCCTAATAATAATCACTATTTAGAAGTTATCAGCCGGGCTATTACTGATAATTTTTTTTTTTTTAAGAGTTTTGGTTTTTCTTTGTTTATTTCCGCAAACTCATTGACACAAAACATATGATGACCTTCAATCTTTGACATTGAATTTTTGAACTAGTGTCTAAAGGACTGATCACAACTACGTAGTTGTTATGACTTGTTGTCTAGAGAAAAATTTACTCATTTGGCTTATTGACCTAAAACAGAAGAAAACAGGCAGTTTTATGCCATTCAAATACTGTTTTCATAGTAAATTCACTGTGGATCCACATTAAACATCGCTTACTTGCTGTTAAAGGCGCAGCAATGCTTATCCATATTTCACTAAATTTTTACTAATAAAATGGCTGCCCCAAATGCCAAAAAATTGCAAGTTAAAAGAATGTTGAGTATTCATGAAATTTTTAGAAATTGTAAAATTTGAGATATCTGAGAGCCACATCACCCTATTATTGACACAGAATAGTAAACAATTATTATTCTTTGTTTATGATGTCCCGTGTCAAATACTCATATAGGTTGGCATAAGTATTCTTGTTAGTCCGTGGTTCCGTGTCAGTGTTATCAATTTAAAAAATGGTGGTCCCCGGTTGACGTGTGCATTTACGAAATATCTTCAAAATGAGGCCGGCTTTAAATTATCTACTAATTGGTATATTTTTTGCGTTCATCCTAAAGTCAATATACAGCCTGTACAGTATATTCCAAGCTCCGCATTGCGAAAAGGGCAGCGTCTGTTATAAATCGTTTTTGAATTCTAAACCAAAACTTGACCTATATGTTTTTGTCTCCGACAATTCGAAATCGGGCAATTTTGACGAGGTTTTGTACAGGAATAACTTCGATTACAATTCGCAGTTCGAGAGGTGGGTAATTGAAGAAAATTATAACGAAAAAATGCAAAATACCGCGTTTCCCAGCAATTTAAAGTTGTCTTATAAAAATCGATTATTATCGTTTTTCACTGATAGCAGACTTTCTCAGCATGGCTTCATGAAAGATAAAAGTACAGAAACAGCTCTGCATGAATCCAAGGAACATGTTGGGACTGCCTTTGCGCAAACTACAAATATGTGATATATTCATTGATTTTTCTAGAGCTTTCAATTCTGTTAATCAGAAATTATTCATAAATGAACTACAGTCTTATAGAGTTCGTAGGGTAGACCTGATGTTATTTGGACAGCAAAGCACATTATTATTATTAATGAATGCTATTATTATTGTTCTCTTTTCAGAGAAATTTTATTGGACATAAGCAAAGCTAGCCGTAACAATGGCTCCATATTCATCCACACAGTACTTGTGCCTAGCAACGCGAATATCGAAGACAACTCCATTCAGGAGCTGACTAAAGTTCCCGAATCGACTTACGTGAAAAGCAGACTCACCAAATATGCCATTCCTCTGAGTGCCACCTTCAACCTACTCAAAGAAGAGAATAAGAGGCACTCCATTAAGCCGGTCACTCATTTACGGTCCAAATATTCTGTGATAATGTGCACCGACGACTTGACTATTCCACACGAAGACATTCCTATGGAACTCGTCCGGCATCTGAGGATAACCAGAAACCGCGTTTTCCTGCCTATATGTCAACCTGACCTGCTGAATATGAGGCTGAAAGATCTCGTGGAGATTACGCCAGATACGAGACAGTTGAATTTCACTTATACCTTCAAGCCTGCTTCTTTCGGGAAGATGAGGTTCATGTTGCAAATCGAAGCAACTCTACATCAGTTCCTGGACTTGGGTTTTACCGAAAAAGACCTGGACGAAGTTAAAGGAGTTTTCGCTGATACAAATCTCTTTTTGCTGTGTGCTACTATGTTCATTGGAAGTGTCCATGTAAGTTAGTTTGAGAATTGTTTTTTTGTTCTTCGATTCAATATTCAGAGCTGAAATCTAATGTGGCTGAACAAAATGCCACAGAATCATTTTTGTGGCTGACCCCAAATCATAAAACCTTTCATAGCGATATTTATCACATGGTAGTTTGCCACCTACAATGCATTATGAAAATTCTATCGCAACAAGTAAGGAACAAATTGCAGAATGTTTTGCTGAATATTTCTCAACAGTTCACGACAGTTCTCATGGTGAGTTTGACGATCACCCTTGTTTGAATATCAACTCATATATTTCTAATCACAGTACTTCAGCTATGATGATATTCCAGCAAATTTCAAATATTTCCCCTCAAATTCAGTTTGGATCCTGACATAATGTCAAATATTTTCTTGGAAAAATTGTGCATACTCCATTACTCATCCTCTATACCTTCTTTTCAAGAATTATCTAGACCAGGTAGTTTATTCATTGTTCCAACTTTCTAATCGGGAGATAAGGAAAATATACAAAATTATCGAAGTGTATGCAGCCAGTCATCTATTCCAAAATTACTTGACAGTTTAATTTCAGATCAACTCAACTTTTCATGTAGATAAAGATTGATCAATAAACAACATGGCTTTTCTCGAAATAATATAGATTTCCAGGATAGCTGGCGGCCCGTTTTTATGGACAAAAAAATATTGACAGCCCCCTCCATCTTCATTCTTAAATGTATTTTATTTATTAGGCAAAACCAAAAATTACATGATAAGACTGCTTCAGAACACAGTCATAATACAAGAAATGGTGATCTTCTAAAAATCACACGGCATCTCATGACAAGCTATAAAAAATCACCTCAGTATAATGCCATTAAGTGCTTCAATAAGCTGCCAAATGTAGTTAAAAAAATCTCAAGTGACAAAGTATTTTATAATCATGTTGAAACTATGCTTTTAGAAAGATGCTATTACAGTTACCAAGATTTTTTAATTGACAATCTCACAGTTGACGTAATTTTATTTAGATTAAATTGTGTGAATGGTGTAAAATGTTCACTAAATTTGTGGGCATATAAGCTTATTTATATATGTGTATATATGTGTAGTACAACTAACTTATCTTATATACGCAAGTGTATAAATGAAATGAAAAAATTGTCTGAATTGACATAAATCCTAGTTGCTCAAAATGAGCAGGAGGTCATGATAATTAAATAAAATTGAAATTATGCAAACCAATATGGATTGTCGGATGTTAAAAGTGGATGTACTTAATGTATATATACAGTCATGCTACTATAAAATATTTTCACAACAATATATGCTGAACTGTTTTTCCGGGTATTTGATCCGTGTATTGGGTGCAGATACTGCACCCAAAACTTTCACATATTATCCCCGGTCTTGCAAGTAAGATGCAATCTATTTAAGGGATATGCCTCAAGCTTCTGCAGCAGTATTTCATGATTCACACAATCAAAAGCTTTGGATAAGTCACAGAACACCGCTGCGGATTTTCCAAGGCATTTGGCAGAGTAAATCACATATTCTATTAAAGATCAGAAATTTTTGTTTTTGCTAAATTGTTTTGGTAGTTTTTTGGCTGGTCTTTTACAACAGGTTAAAATTGAGTGATATATTAGTAATATAAAGGTATCAAATTTTACAATGAGCTACCGAATGCTTTAAAAAAAATTTAATAAATAAAAATGCCGGATTAATTTGAAAAAATATTATCTGTACATTTATGTTCATGTTGATAATAATGTACGTGTGTATATGCATGTATATTTATATTTTTTTTTCAAGTTTCACTTCTGATTTATCTTTCTTTGTGTGCTCTGTTTGTACTTAGTTATATTGTAGTTAGTTTTTTTTTATTATTGTTTTTTCCCCCTGCTATAAACATTGTATGTTTCTTGGGAAAATAAATTGTTATCATTATTATTATTTACTCATGAGGATGTTAATTCATTAACAGATGACAATTTTTTTCAGCTTCTTCTGGATTTTCTCTCTTTCAAAAACGATGTCAGTTTCTGGAAAAGCCAGACTTCCATGGCTGGTCTATCAACGCGTACCGTATTATGGAGGGCTTTCTCTCAAACCATCATATTTTTATATTTGTTAGACGAAGGCACTTCGTTGCTGGTCCTCGTTCCAAGCGGTATAGCAACGGTGATAGAAGTAAGTGCACTTTCAATGTTAATTTTGATCAAGCAGTTAGAACTTAAAGACTCTTGATTGATTTCTTATTTCAGTTTTGGAAGGTTAGCAAAGTTTTCAAGACTTCCATATCCTGGAAGGGCCTCAAATTCAACAAGGATCATAAGGAGACCAATGACGAGAAAAGAACGAGGGAGTATGACGAAGAGTGTATGAAATATTTGAGTTACTTGCTGTATCCTCTTTGCGTTGGAGCAGCGGTGTATTCTCTTCTGTTCCAGCCTCATAGAAGGTAATAGTTTTTTTGCAGGTGTACTAGGTCTGTTGAAAAAATAATACTTTTCATTTTTCTCAAAAATTATTCATTTATTCTTCCATTTCTATTTTGTCCCCTTCATTTTGTCACCTCAGATATAACACACTTGTGTCAGCATTTTTTCTAGGGCGAGCTTAGTCATTTACATCTTCTCGACCTTCTGTGAAAAGTTTTTATCACTTGTATACATCTTTCTGAGTCAGAGTACCATCACCGTATACCACTGTCAACATTTCAGATGTTTTTGAGCACCATTTTTCATACAAAATATCATGCAAATTCTTTGATTGTTGTTAAATATTTATTCTTCCTCAAAAGGTTCAATTATGGGAAATCCATTAAACCCCTTACTTGCAGAAATTTTCATGGATAATCTAGAGAAGTCGATCTTTAAACATCCTTTGATTGAGAATTTCTTGTATTGGCATAGACATGTGGATGACGTTTTGGTATGTTTTACATGTACTAAGAGGCAATTAGATACTTTTCATAGGGATATTAACAAAATTCATGAAAACATTAAATTCACTATTAAAATAGAAGCAGACAACTCAATTGATTTTTTTGACTTAACAATTAGTAGAATTTATGATGCACTGTTTGGAACCTTTGGTGTAGTAATGAATATTACTGGAGTTTTTTCCCAACACCAAATCGTTATTTTTAACACGTATTTCGACCACCAAGTGATCATCTTCGAAGAGGAAGATTAAAACTAGAAACTAATGCGAAGCTAACCCTATTTATGCTATATAGGTATCACATACAGGTAAACCATCCAGGTGTACCAACCATACAGGTATACCAACCTAAATTAATTTTACAATTTTGCCTTACCTATTATTTTACAATATATGTTTAAATAAGACAATTTTCAGCTATATAAAAATTAATTTCACAATATTGCCTATCCAAATTTATTTTTGCAATGTGTCCTTATGTAGTAATCAGTAATCCCAACATTATTTTATTTTGAAAAGCTATACATATAGTATGCTCTTTGGTATAGGTCCGTCATCGTTATTCATAATATTTGTGTGTTTAGTTATTTCTACACTTTCATAGGCATCTAGTTGCTTGTTGTTGTTAACTTGCCTAACTAATCTTAATGAACTGAAGTCTATGGAATGGTTTTGTTGCAAAATATGAAGGGCGACTGCTGATTTTTCAGGTCTTGCATATTTTGAGTATGCTATGTGTTCCTTATATCTTACTTTAATAGATCTTCTTGTCTGTCCATAATATTTTGCATCGCAGTCTTTACATTCCATTTTGTAAATTCCAGACTTTTCCGAATTCTCGACTTTGTCTTTTGGACTTCCCAAATGGCTCTGTAGTGTATGACTTATTTTAAAAACCACCTTCATACCTAGTTCCTTGAAAATCTTTCCAAAGTTCCCCGTATATTGGTGGTATGGAACTGAGATGTATTTATTTATCTTGGTTTTTGTCCTTTCTGAAAGTCGAGATTTCGTTCATTCTTAACCTAAACTTCTTCTTCCTCATTATGTCATCTACAATACCCTTCGAGAAACCATTAGTGGCTGCTATTTCCTGTATTGTACGTCTTTCTTTTGTGAACCTATCATGTGTTTGAGGAAAGCCAAAAGACGATGCACTAAAAAATTCAACTCAGCACGTTTGTGCTGTCCACAGTGATGTGAACTGTCAGGAATATACCTGAACGTGAAGATGATCACTTAGTGATCGAAACAAGTGTCGAGGTGTTAAAAATAACAATTTTGTGTTGGGAAAAAACTCCAGTAATATTAATTAGTAGAATGAACAACAAACATGATTTTTCAATTTATCACAAACAGTTCTATATTACTGTACATTACGATTTTACCCATCCTTATCAACACAAAGTAGCAGTTTATATATTATAATTCACGATCACTCAATGTTCCTCTTTCAATAGATAGACATTCTAATATACAAAAAATTTGAATGGTTTACCTGTAGGAGATACCTATATAGCATAAATAGGGTTAGCTTTGCGTTAGTTTCTAGTTTTAATCTTCCTCTTTGAAGATGATCACTTGGTGATCGAAACAACAAACATGATTTTTCAATTTATCACAAACAGTCCTATATGGATATGACTGTACATTACGATTTTACCCATCCTTATCAACACAAAGTAGCAGCTTATATAATATAATAATTCTCATATCACTCAATGTTCCTCTTTCAATAGATAGACATTCTAGTATACAAAAAATAAAAGAAAATTATATATTGTGAATATAATTACATTATAACAAGTGAATTTAATCTATACTTTAAAAGTAACTGCTGAAGAGAGAACGAAAAAAGAAGATCATGAGAGGAAGTGATTAAAAAAACATAATTCTAATTATTTATTCAAATTGAAAGAGGTATATTTTTTAGGAGAGATTCCTATTCAGTTTGTGCTTCGAACATTCGCTATGGAAATGAATTAGATATCATTCACAGTAGTGCTACACAATATAGTAGATGAAAGAGGTAAAATTTCAGTCGCATGGAACACTGTCATCCTCAATGGCAGACATCTGATGTTTCGGAATGAGACACTTTCTTTATTGCCTCTTCAGCACCAACTTGGATAACATTACAGTATTTACATAAGCAGTGCAATGAGTTGTAATATATCCTTGTGGTGATTTTGTAGATTTTCATTCAATACCAATACAGATCATTTTGTTGAAGCTAAAGGAGTAATTTGAGAGCCTCGGAGGATGTTGCGAATTAAATTTCACATCTAGTATTGAAGTTGAGATTGTTTATCGTTTCATATAGTTACCAATTTTGTTTTGAATAAAAAGCAAAAAGTCAAACATCTGAAAACATCCGTCTCTTTCATTAAAATTACACAATTTCGATTTTATCATGTTTTCAGCAACCGAAGGTTGCTACGAATCGCCCATCGACATATGTCTTACCAGGTCGAAGGAAATTGACCTGTCTTCCCTGGAGTGGATCAACTTTGAGATCCCTCCGAAAAAATCATAATTACGAGTACAGGACAAACGATAGTTTTGGCACCTTTACTGGGGATCAAACGATATGAAAGGGAGCGAACACTCTGTAGACGGGGCGAATTATCCGGCTCGAAGGACCAAAATGTTGCTTTTTATTCAAAACAAAACTGACAATAATAATATAGGTAACTATATAAACAATCTCAACTTCAATGCTAGATGTGAAATTAATTCACCACAATACCCTCATCTCTTCCACAAATAGTTGGATTATGGCATCATCAGTGTCATTCAATCATAAAAAGGAAATTGATATCATTGGTATATCCAACAAGTAAACTGGTGACCAGATAGTGGAAACTATGTTGGTCCTAGTATTGATCCCTGAGGTATGCCTACGCATATAGATTGTATCTATCTTCTAAGAAGAAACCAGACCACTGAAGCGATAGTCCTTAGATTGATGTCCATTATAGTACATGTCCATAATAGTAGGCGCTAAAATCTCAGAAATATTTCATTAAAATGAAAACATTGTTGTCGAGGTTGTGATTCTACATATTCAATAAGTTTTCCTTATCTGTTTAGTATAATTTTCGTACGCCACTGCAAGAGACAGATTGAGGCAAAAACGTCAGTCATTTCTGAGAATTTACTGCCTACTATTCTGGAATTATAGTATATGAATATTAATTGAAGCCCAGTTGTAGACTTTTTTCTACCATTGGTTCAAAATTTTGATTTCTTCTGCTCATTATCATCCTGAGTACTTTTATTTCTTCCCAATGACGCATTTATTCAAAAAATGCATCTCAAAATATAAAGCGTTACGTTTTGAATTGAAGAAGAAACATACTGCGAATTTTGGTGAAGGCGCCATAAAATTTTTGGCGGGAGAACCAGTTTCACCATTTAGGAACGGACTAGCTCAACAAAGTATTATTCAAAAATAATAATTTGATTGATATGTTGTCAATAATTGCTTAGCTTGAATATCAACCATAAAAATAAATAGATACATTTCAATGGCTAATATTGATGACGTCCTATTTTGACTTTCAATTCACATTTTTAATATACAGTGTGTAAAAGCCTAATGGAATAAATTAATTATTTTGGATATGGTACATATTTTTAAAAAATCCCGAAACACGTCAAATTTTAATTATAAGTTGACATACTTCAACGGAAAAATGCAACCCACGTCGAATGACAGGGATAACCCCAATTTTTTAAATGGGAAGTATAGGCTTGTGATATATTGTTTGAAAAGTCTCTTCATCCTCTATACAAAAATGTTATCGCTTTCAAGTTTATTGTAACAATTAAGATAAAAATAAATTAAAATTATGAAGTTACCGAAATTCGAAAAAATACACTCAAAACTTATTGCAATATACAACAAAACTTATTTCATGTTGAGGTATTGATAATAAGAATGTAAGCAAAAACCATAGCAATGTTCTTTTTAGATGGCATCCTTTAAAAAACTGTAAATAATTTTCGTGGCAACGTTAGTTTGAAACGCCTTGTCAACTTGCTTTGTATGTTTCAACATCAGTTGTCAGTATTTTAATTTCAGTTTAAAGTTCGTTAACTTCAAGTCTGACAAATGGTTAGATTAACGGAAATGCATGAAATAATGGTTTTACAAATTATTGGTTGCGGAGATAAAACCCGAACACAACAGGAAGTAGCCATTTTATGAGAAATTTACTAATTTACCGCGCATATCTCAAGGAACAATAAGCAAAATAGAGAAGCAGTTTGGCGAGCTTGGTCATGTGGGGCAGATAAAAAAAGCAGCTGCCAATGCTTTAAACTTTTTTGGACAACCAACGCTTCATTTTTGAGGAATCGAGATATTAAAATTGCATATAGAACAAATAATACGTTGGGAAAGCTAGTTAAAAATAATAAGGATAAAACATCCAAATTCGAGAAATCAGGAGTATATAAATTAAAGTGTGGAACGTGCCCTATTTTAGGTAATCATAATTGAGCAAGTACGAGATGTAGAGGTTCAGGTAATTTCTTACAGGTAGTATCAATTATGTTTACCTGTAGTATATAAATATGAATGTAAGGATAATTTGATGTATTAATCACTTGAAAAAGCTAATGTTTAGCGAAACATGTTGTGATATATTTTTTCAATAAAGTTTGTGTCAAATTTACATTTGACGTGTTTCGGAATTTTTTTAAATATTTACAGTAACCGAAATAATGAATTTATTCCATTTGACTTTTACACACTGTATGTTTTTCTTAGTATTACCCTCAGCTATTATACATTAAAAATTTGCTTGTGTGTATAGTTCAGTGTACTAAAACTTTTCTTGCAGTTGGTACTCTTGGACAATAAACAGCATGGTGAATGCGGTTTATGCTTTTGGGTTCATCTTTATGCTGCCTCAGCTGTTCATCAACTACCGGTTGAAGTCGGTAGCTGCCCTGCCGTGGCGCGCCTTTACATACAGGGCGTTCAACACCTTCATCGACGACATTTTCGCTTTCATCATAACTATGCCGATGGCTCATCGAGTGGCTTGCTTCAGAGATGACGTCGTATTCCTAGTTTATTTGTACCAAAGATGGTGAGTTGAAGATTTTTTATTCGTAATGTAAGTCGTTTTTATGGTATTTCACAAATAATACGTCGGGGTTAGGTCCGGCGAGTTTGGTGGCTACTTCAGATGGAACTGACTGCTGTTTTGGTTTTCTAGTGCCTACCTCTAAAGATATATCGTGTGTTTATTCATAATTCTATACCGAAATGGTTTTGATTTGTCCTAGACATTTGCAAATTTATTCATATGTTTAGATTTAATCATAAGGTATGTCTGTTGACAATGACTTTTTTTTACAGGCTGTATCCTGTGGATAAAACTCGCACTGACGATGTGGCAGGAGAAGTTGTTCCAGAGAATAAGAAAAACAAATAAATTTGTTATTTTTTGTTCATTTATTTGTAATAAAATTTGGGAATGACGTTTTTATGTTCAATAGATACACACACAACCCAGTATTTTAGTATAGTGTTGTCCTAGTGAGTCCCCCAAGGCACTGTACTAAATACCCTAATTAGTTTTGAGAATTAACTACTGGATATTATCTCATTCTGTTGTCTCCTGTTCGGATATCGGTTTCCAAATCCATTTTCCATATTTCTTGAAGGACACTCTCACATTAAGAAAGAAAGAAAGAAATTTTATTGACCTCAAATTACATCTTCTGTTACATTTCAAAATATCTTCAATAACAAAATTTGCTTAGGTATGTCTTATTGAAAATATAAAAAAATATACATAGAGTACGTAAGGAAAAATCTCATAATACAATAGTCTTTCAAATGAAGGTTTTTCCACTCACTAGGCAAAGTGTTATATATTTTTATGGGAAGAAACTCCGTTTGTTTGGCTGTGTTTTGATAATGCATCTTCGGTAGCCTGATGATGTCTTTGTGTTTTCTATCATGATTGTGAATCTTAGAGCCGCAATTATATTTATTTTTATGTACAAACAATATTGCTTCTAGAATATAAATGAAAGGTAATGTAAGTTTGAACCATTTTATAAGAATTGGTTTAGCATGAGTTCTGGAATCAACTCATTTCAGATCTCTCATTATTTTTTTTGGATAATGAAAACTTCACTTGCATTTGAGGAAGCACCCCATATCAGTATTCCATAGTTTATGTTTCAATGAGCCATGCCAAAATATGCAATTCTCAGCTCATCATTCGAAACTAAACTCCTTAGTCCTTTGCGACACTTTGAGAGCTTTTTACAAAACGATGTGGTATGTCCATTCCAATTTAATTTGTTGTCAAGGTGGAATCATAGTAAACACACCTTTTTGTCGCCATCAGACATTTGGGATCTATTTGAGATAGTTATTTCCTGAGTTTTATTTTCATTCAAGCATAAAACATTAGTCCTAAAGTATGTTTAGCATTTTGTCAGTGTTTCATATGACAACTGATCTAGCCTCCGCACTTGTTGGTTACTTATGACAAAAGTTGCATTTTCGGCATATAAAAAAACATCTGCTGTGTCGATATATGTAGGAAGATCATTCATGTAGATAATAAATAAAAGGGGACCAAGTACGGATCCCTGAGGTACTCCATGCTTGACAATTTTGGTATCAGATTTTACATTGTTATATAATATATTGTAGCCTTTCAGTCGAAAAAGAATGTATTAGGTCATATGCTATGCCTCTAATGCCATATTTTTCAAGTTTTCTCAATAATGTGACATGTGAAACACTGTCAAATGTTTCAGATAGAAGGCAAAGAAGTAAGTGGGTGCAGATACCCAAATCTTTATTATGGACAATGGTGTGAACAATTTCTGTCATTGCCTGTGATGTAGACCTCATCGATCTGAACCCATATTGAGCATCATTCAAGTATCTACCCCCTTCAAGGAAATCAAGAAGTCTGTCTTTGACTAGAATTTCAATGATATTTGATACAATGGGAGTTATGGTAATAGATCTATAGTTATTGCAATCATTAGGATCTCCCTTTTTTAGGACTGGTGTTGCTCGACATAATTTTAGGTTCGCTGGAAACATTCCACATGAGAAGCAAATATTTGCTGGGTGTGCTAGGCTTACTAAGAGCATCACATGCCATCTTTACTATAACGGAATGATGTAGGATTACATCTTTCATATTTGATTTTTTTGTGGCCCTTTATTCGAATTTGTTCTTACTTACATTATTTACAAATTCATCAGCCTTGTTTTATTTTCTGTTGATCTTTTTATTCTTTTTCAGAGCTTTCTTCTTATCTTGCAACTTTTCCTTTTTGTTTATTTTTCTTTCTCTTGTATCTTCATAATGATATTACTTATTATAAGGAAGATGAACATTTTGAAATTGTTCAAGTTCTAGAATAACGTATTCTATCAAGTCTTGTTTTTCAGTCTTGGTGAAATTTCTCTTAATATTCCTCTTGGTTTACTGAGGATAATGTCTCTTGTGTGTAAAACTTTTTTTTTCAAATCAACTAATTATACAAACAATCCAAGTCTCAAAAAAATGACCTTTCCTGAACTTTTGACTTACCCCGTATATACATTTTCTAGAATAAAATTCCAGTATCAATAATAAATTTAATAATTCCAAGAAAAGTAGACAATAAAAAAAGAATGACAATTCCTTTAAAAAATCTGTATTCTTCAGAAGTAGAATACTTAGATGTAAAATAATTTGAAGCAGTCGTCTATAGTTTTCATTTTCTTGGCTGATTTTGAGGGGTCTTGGTTCGATTTTCTCATGAGATATTTATTTGTTTATATTTATGCTCTGTCAAATTGATACACAAATACTTATTTGTGTTTGGTACGATGAATCAATGTCTGGTAACTTAACTCACACTTTACTAATGCTGGGTGAAAAACCTGAAACAGGTCTGTACCAGGAATGATTCGTACAAACAGAATTTTTTATAGACACAAATTCCCTCCTTACTTTTTTGAAAGTATGGGTTGAACGAGGATGGTTTCGACACAAAAGATTAATTTTATGAGACCTCCTCGAAACGTGCTGTCAACCTATAGAAGTCGAAACTTGTGCGAGCTGAGGAATAACGAGGTCCTACCTTTCAACGTGCAACTCCTAGCTTTTATCTGAATGCGAAAGTAAATCGTCAACTATTTCGAAAATGAAATGACTCATTCCAAAATGGAGCGCCAAATTCATACGAAGTATCTCCGAAAACTGAATATTTGAGCTGGAATTTTAGGTAACTATATTAAAGGGACATTTTTGTTAAAGAAAACATGTCATTATTCTGAACTTTTAATAGGAATCACTCTCATAACACTCCCAATAAAAACAGTTTTCTCAAGTTAGGAACGTGATTTATTTTACTCTTGCACCAAAAAATGTTTCTTTTTCTGTTATTAGTATATATAATAAAACACCTGAATCCATCAAAAACTTGCTCCTCACGAGAATGACGGGACTGAAAGTTATGTTTCTATCAAATACAGACGACAGAAATAATATTTCGCTGATAGACTTTGAGATATCTACTAATTTGTATTTGTCCCAAACATCAGAACTGCAACACTCTTCTTGACGCATCTTTCAGCAACTAAATTGGCCTCTTCAGGATATAAAGTAGATTATTAGAGTAGAATTGTCATTGAACAATGCTCTTTTGGCGGCGAGAGAAGTCGCACTATCTAAAAGTACTAAAAATAACATTTTATATAAATTTTATTCCGCGCTTGATTTCCAGTCACATTTAAGGGTGAACAGGAGAGAAATTCTTACATTTGGACTGTATAAACTTGTATATTATAGCAAGTTTATGGAGTAAAGCAGTAGGTAGAGCGGTGAATCTATTTATAAAAGTCATGAAAGTGATTGTAACGAAACTATTCATTTTTCAACTGCCATCAGGATGAATTTCAAATATTTTCTTTTTATTCAACATTGTCAACGTGTTATACCGCCATGCAGAGTTCATTCATTGTCAAACCCGATTTGTACAAAACCTCCAAGCACTTCATAGTTCCTCCACAATCTCATTAACATTGTTTAACCTTGATCAAGTATAACGCTTCACAGAATCATATCTAGAACTTTAAATAATGTTTATTCTCCGTCCCTCACTATTACTATCTGAATTTATAACTTTTAAAAAATGATCTTGAAAAAGGTTACATTTTGTAAAGTAATTTTGGAACCCCCCGTATATGTCACTCCACCCTAAAATTCCGAAGTATTCGACACAAAAGACCGGCTCCTCCGCCAGTCATTTGATCGTACTTGCAACTTCACCATAATTACAATCAAGTGTTTTTTTTACATTTCCATTTACTACCAATTTTTATTACTCAAGAAACCAACTTATTATCTGCCCTGAAAATGTACAATTTCTTCAAGATCGAATATGCGATAGTCTACTAGGCTAGGTTTCGTTTTATCTGACAAAACGGAATCATTCATTGTTTTCATGACACATTCAAGCGATTACACTCTTGTTTTCATTCTACAAAATCACCAGCACAATGCAAATATCATAACGATGAGTTGGCATTTTCTAACTCAGCACTTTTTTGTTCTGCAAAGCAATAAGTAGCACATGACTAAAAAATGGCGAATGCGCCCAATGTAAAATATCCGATTACACCGGTCATAGAAACAGTATGGAGATAATTCACGGCAAAAAAGATATTTTATAAATAAGTATATTGGTCCAATATATTCCCCATTCGACTGGATTTTCAAAACGACATTCGAAAATTTCCTTCCTAGTTCCTACACGGCAATCCTCCATTTTTTCCATTTTCATTATAGGCTATTTTTCACGAACGATCCTAGAGGTGAATTATTTACGTCACAGCAAACTGAAAATTTTCAACTTTATCATTAATATGCATTTTGATAGGTTGAAAATCACACGAGATCATCAGTTTGCTTCAAAATTGTTCCTAAATTTCCTAATCACGCCGTTAGAATACATTTGTTCTGATGATTTCACGAAGGTATGACCATTCTTCCACCCGGTCGGACCGGACCGACGCTAAAATGCGACTCGATCTCCCTTATCCGCCGGCAGCGCCCTCTTTACCAAAGTGACTTTCCTTAGTTTTCTTTATTTGTCATGAGTTATGGCGAAAGCGCAACAAGTGTTTTAGTTTTCCTGGTTTAAAATGAACATGTGGTAATCCGAACGTTATGAAACTGCAATTTGTAAATATTTAGTAGGTTAGTGGACAATTACAATCGGAATTCATGTCGCGATCGTCTGTTCCGCGGCCTAAAAACTAGTACGAAAAAGTGATATCTTTCAGGGCTTGGTGTATACGTCCTGCAGATGCTTCTGAAGAAATTCCGAAAGGAATACAATGAAGAAGAAGCCCGAGCAGTATACAAGAGCAGGTAAAACTAACGTTACATTGAGAAATTTCTTGAATAATCTAAAAGAAAATGATTTGCATTTCGAAAATAAACAGATCACCCAGTGCGTTTTTTTGGGTATTTTAAGACTGAAACCAGTGCCTAGTATATTTTCCAGCGATAGTACCTCCTCGACAGTCGTCGAAACTAAGCCGAGGAGGTTCAGAAACAATAATAGTAATAAGGAAGCCAATAAGAACGTGCCCAGAAAGAAAGACATAAACAAAGTTATCAGTGGGAAGGTTCGAAAGAAGAACCCCGACAAAATCAAAGCTTCCGTCAAGAAAGTGCCTGCAAACAAACCGATTATCAAAGTGAAATTTGATATGATGAAGAAAACCCCTGCGAATGAACTGAACACGCCAAAAAGTGACCTTACACAAGAAAACGTTTCTTCTAAACCACAGACATTTAACCCTGTAGAAAATCTCTTCAATAAGTTGAAACAACAGATTGAGCACTGCCAACCTGGCTCTTCGGGGCTTTCTAGAAAAGACTGCGTTGAAACTACTGAACAGACTTCTGTTTGTAAGCTAAAGTCCAAAAAACCTAATAAAAAGCTAGGTAAAAAAAAGTCAATCATTCATGAACGCCTAGCTATGCCTCTTCTCCCGATCAGCCACAATCCAGTCAGTTTTAGTGACTGTGGCGATCTCAGTTCCTCATGTTCTTCCTCTTTGGGGCAAGGTATATCGGATGGAACACCTGATGAACCATTTACAAGCCAGCAAGTGCTTAAAGCTCTCAAGCCGAAGGAAAGGACATCTCCCCGTAATAAAGCTGTCTCCGCATACGAAGAAGTGCTTTTGATAAACGATGAACCTGTTATTGACCTTTCAGAACAAGAACCCAGTGTAACGAATGAATTTTGTGCAAATCCTGATAACATAGCTGTGTCATCTCCAGTAAAAGATGATGTGATTGTCATAGACGAGTCAAGGGGTCCCAGATTCTCACCTAGATCTAAGAAAACGAAAGATAAGTCTGTAAGTTTCATACCAATCCTTTGTTCGTCAATATCTAGTGATCCTAGTCACCAGGAGGTCATAGACGTGGAAAAAGTTGACGAAAAATCGAGCAGAACTCTTTCAAAGACACATGAAAATATGACGGAATCAAGCCCAGAAGGTCCCAATACGGAGAAACCGAGACGCAGACGTAGACTGATGCCAACTGCTATTCCGTCCATTTTCTTCAACACTCCGATGCTACTGAGAAGTGAGCTGGCCCAGAAAAAACCAGCTGGTATTGAAAAGAAACCTGTTGTCAGGGGTTCATCGAGAATGCTACGTTCCGAGCCACAGAAAGTGAAGAACGATCCTGAAGAGCCTAGTAAGATAACCAAATCACCTACTAAGAACTATGAACAGAGTGATAATTTAATATACGAAGTGGTAAAGTCAGGAACACAACTAAGCAAGATTTCAGAGTCTTCTAGTAGTGGTGGCAATGATGTTATATGCTTGGATGATACCCCACCCAAAGTGGAACCACTTATAATAAAGCTGAAGGTTTCTCAACAGAAAAAGCTTGAAACAAACAGTCCTGATGGTTTATCCAAGGAGAAGCGTAACAGCTCTGAGAAGCTGGCTGCGAAACCACAGATGGAAGAAACAAGAATGAAAAATGTACAAGATGTAACAACTGTACTTACTTCAAAACTGAGACGTACCGCAATCCAGCAAAAGAATGGTTCACCGTCAGAAGAGTTCAGACCAGCTTTTGAATCACCGCCTCAAAAAACTCTTTCCATCGAGAAAAGTGGTGCTGAATTAGTTGAGAAGAATGAGAGTTTGCGAAAAAGCCCCTCTAAAGTGCCATCACCTAAAAAGGCAGCTACGAAACCTCCAAAGAACATCCAGATACGCTTAGACCTGGAAAAGAAAGATGAAAATGAAATATCCACCAAAAATTTGGAGCACGAAAAAGAAGAGGGCGCTATTAAAATGATTTCTTCCAAGAAATCAGCAGAAAAACTTTCTGCAAAACTGGGAGAAGTGGATTTAATCCAGGAGGAGGAACAGCAGACATCCGAGAAAATTATATCACACAAACTGCTCAGATCTGAGAGCCTTTCTGTGAAATCCAACCAAGAAGTTATAAACATTGTTGAATCAGATGTGATTATGATACCAGATGAAACTTCAAACGTTTCTACATCACATAATATAACTGAAGATCCAATTTTAGAAGATACTGAGCCTTCAAGTTCCAAAGTGCTCCACAAGGATCCAAATCTAAAGGAAAAATCACCTGAAATAATTGATCTTTGTTCGATGGAAGAGCTCAAAAAAACTGCAGAGCTGCCAAAACTAATTAAAATACATAGTGACCTGAAATTGAAGAAGTTTGTAACCAAAAATGCTTCTGCGACCAGAGACAAGGCCAAAGATAACACGAAACATACAAGTGCAAAAGACATTAACAAAAATGTGTCTCAGAAAGATAAACCAAATTTGAATATTTTTGGGAGAGATAGCAGAAAAAGGGTGACCCAAGGAGATAAATTTGTAGCTGTTATAGAAGAAAATATGGTACAATCAAATGTGGTTGGGTCTGAAACCGATGTGCTCCCTAAACAAGCAGGAATCTCCGAAAAAGTTGAGCTAGTTGAATTGGAAACTGTTGATTTGTCTTCTGAAAATATTCCCGAGAAGAAAGAACTGAGAAGGAGCCTTAGATCAGAAATGATTCAACAGAAATCTGTTACAACTACTGGAACCCAAAATATAAAACCCTCTGTAGGTCAAGGTTCAGAAAAAAGTAGTACATCTTCTTTAGAAGTTGGTAAATTGAAATCAGAAGAAATATCTATTCCTGATTCTGGTAATGGAGCAAAAGCTGCTCTGCCTGAACAAAAATTAGTAAAGGATTTGGAACTATCTGCATTGCCACAAAGACTCTTGAGATCAGACAAAAGCCAACATATTCTAACTGATGCAAAAATCAGTCCACTCAAATTAGATCTACCTAAAAAAGCTACTAAGATAGATCTGTCTAGGAATATCACAGATGGTACATGTAAAGTTTCCCCTAAGGTTGACAACTTAAGAAGCCCCTCACAGAAAAAGCAAGGGAATCTGGACAAAATAACAATGGAGAGTTCAAAAAAGGTGAAGCAACCAAGAGAATCTACCACAAGAACATTGAGATCGAGCACAATTGAGCCTGATCTGACACCTGTGAAAGTTAAAGTCGAAAAATCCGTTCCCCTAACACACGACAAACCAAAAAACATTGAAAACTCTCCAGCAGAAGGTGTATCAACAATGAGATCACTCAGATCACAAAAAGTAGTTGCAAGTGTTCTCTCAGAGAAAAAGAAGAAAAACCAGATGAAAACTACTGCCAAAAATAAACCTGTGTCGACAACTATTCCTCCTAGAGGTAATATTGCAAGACAGAGCAAGAAGGTCAAGGTTCTCCAGGTGAAAACGAAGAATATAAAGGGTATAGACAGGAAGAACAAAGTATCTACTAAGATCACTCAGCAAAAAATATCTCAGTCTCTAAAGCGACTCCGACAAAGAGCGGTTACTACCTTATCGAAAAATAAATCTGCAGCGGAAAGAAACCGGAAGGATAAGCTTCAAAAACAAGCTGTGGTTGAGAAGAAAAAATCTAGAAAGTCGATTGACTGGAGAAATAATCAACTCATAGAAAATATAATCCAGGAAATTAGAAATACAATTTTCCTTGATAAAGAATGTCAAAGACAAGATAAAGGTAATCTTTCATCAGATGAAAATAGTCCGAAGGAAAACGTGGTTCCAGCAAACAAGAAAGCAATGAAATCCAATAAATCTCTCAACAAGAAAAAGAGGGCAAGAAGGCTGTCTTTGCAAGAAATAAAAAACGATAAGAATACAAAAGGAAACACCCAGAAGAGTAACGTTAAAAATAAGCAGAGCAATAAGATTAAGCAACTGAATAACAAAAATAACATCAAAAAGGTTGTACCAGATAAGTCGAAACAACCAAAGAAAGAATCAGTACCATGCAGAGTTCTTAATCAAACGTCTGGAGGTCAGAATTCAGATATTATTAAGTTTGAAATTGTTGGGAATGACCAGAAGACTAGCAACCAATTGAAAAGGAAGAGCCAAGATTCAAAGCAGGAAACAGTTGTTAAAAGGCAATATAAAAAGAGAAATTTTGGAAAGAAAGAAGAGGATGTAGCTGAGGAGACCGTTGAAAAAACTGATGGCAAAAAAGGAGCTGTGAAGAAAAAGTATACAAAAAGAGGTGTTAATAAAGCAATAGATGAAGTACCGCAGATCCAGAGTATCACTGCTAAAGACTGCAGACTTGCAGGAGAAAATGTGCAAAAGATAAAACAAGATAGAGGAGTGTCTAGCAAAGGTGAATCTAGTAAAAACAAGACTCCAGAAGTAAGGAACAAGAGAACTGTTCAAACATTCAGTAGCAAAGAAACCAATCAACAGATAGAACTGGCTGAAAACGATTTGAAAGAGGAGGAGATGGGTGATCTGCTGAAAAGGAAGAACGAAGATTCAAATCAGGAAACAGTTGTCAAAAGACAATATAAAAAGAGAAATTCTGGAAAGAATTCAGATCTGGACAGTACTGCTAAGTCTGCTGAAACAACTCATGGTGCTAAAGGAACTGTTAAGAGAAAGTATGCGAAAAGGGATCTTGGTAAATCAATGGAACAGCCACAGATCGAGAATGTCACTGCTGGAGTTTTGAAAATTCCAGAAGATAATGAGCTGGAACTGAAAGAAGAATCAGAATCTAGTAAAGATTCGAATGAAGCCGCTAAAGAACAGCGTCCAGAAGTAACGAGCAAGGCGACTGTTCAAGTATCCAGTGTTATCCACCTGGTAGATAGCTACTTAGAAGAAATCGTTGTGGATGAGGAGAAGACTGAAGATATTCTGAAAAGCAATAACGAAGATTTGGAACAAAAACCAGACAAAGAAACTGTAAAGAGGACATTCAGAAAGAGAACATTAGTCAAACCAACGAATGAGAAAATCCGAAATTCAAAAGTTGCTGAAAGGAATGAATCAGATAATTCAGAACCAGATGAAGAATTAAACAAAGCTTCCAAAGAGCAGAATGATTTAGCATCAATGAGCAACGAATCTGTTGAAATATCCAGGAGCAAAGAATCCTATCAGCTGGTAGATAGCTACTTGAAAGGCATTGCTACAGATGGAACTAATGATAACCTTCTGGAAATGAAGAACGAAAATTCAGAACAGGTTGCAGTAGCAAAAAGGCAATACAAGAATGTGAAGTCTAAAGAAATAGAGTCCAGAGTTGAAACTGTGAAAAGAAGGCTTATTGAACTAGTAGAAGAACCACAGCCTGATGGGGATGTGGTACTGAAGAAGGAATTGCTAGCATCAACAACTAGCAGAAATACTGAGAGTTTCAATAGCAATAGCAAAGAGACTTGCCAGGTGGTTGGCGGATCCTCGAGCGAGACTGTTGAGGAGGAGATGAACGGCCCATCAAAGAGAAAGACCAATGTAAAAAAAGAGCTGGCAGACATGGACAGTGCTGCAAAACCTGTTGAAAGGAGACAATACAAGAAAAGAGGTGCCTCAGCAGATGATCCCATAGAGCAAAGCGCTTCCACGTCCAAAGACGATAAAAACAACAAAGCTCAAACCATTTATCGCATTGCCTACCTTGTGAACCAAATGCTCAAAGGAGGAAACCCAGACCAAGCTATGTTGGAAGACGCCCAAGCCGAGACGGAGAGGCTGTACCAAGATGAAGAAACCCCCCGAATATTGGACGACCTTATGGAGGAGATATCTGCGGAAAATGACCAGAAGAACTTTGCAAGTTCAGAGCGTCAAGTCGGTTCTTCCGACAAACCCGATGTAACAGTGTTCGACTTTGACGAGTCTGAACCGGAGCCCGATTTGGGTCCTTTGCGTCCCAAAGCGACCCCAGAGAAGCCTCCCTCTGCCCCTGAGAATAAGCTTACCAAGCAGCAGAAAGTTATCACCGACGCTGATCCCAAAGAGGTGAAGAAGATGTGGTCCAGGATTGAAAAGCCGCCTCCTGTGGCGTCAAAGCCTCATCCCGCTCCCAAAAGCAAACCCAAGCGGTCCCTGGAACCCCCCTCATCTCCCATGAAACCTCCTTCATCTCCCACGAAGCTCGCTTCCTCTCCAACCAAGTCCTCCTCTCCGATGAAACAGCCTACGATCATCGAAATGTTCAACAAGGTGCGGCTCAAGACTGATCAAGCAGGCAGTTCGAGTGAAGCTGCCTCCGAAACCGCCCCCAGCAATATGCCGCCCCCCGCCTCGGAGAGGCCCAACTGCAAGGATGAGTTTGTGGAAGACGACGACAGCGATTGCGAGAGCAGGGCAGAATGGATCCCTGAGGAGTACGCAGAGTACAAAATGAAGTATTCCAGGCAGAAGATGATGCAGTACAAACCGATTTACAAGTGCAAGGTTTGCTTGAAGGTGATGCCGACTTACTACAAGCTGATGAAGCACAGGAAGGAGCACGAGCTGACGGAGAATCCATATGTTTGTCCGCAGTGTGAAGCAAACTTTTCTAACGTCGAGGATTTTTCGGCGCATTTGAGAATTCACAAGGGTGAGTGCTGTTTTTGTTAATTGTTATCTCTATTATTGACTGGAAGTAATATGTATTCTAAAAACACTCTATTGTGTGATTTTCACTAGACAGTTTTACAAAAACGCAACACGTGTTTCGCCATACAATGGCTTTCTCGGGCGTGTCTTAATAACTAATATCCTATACCTATCTCTATCTGTTTTCGAGATAAAAAATAAATTGTGGTAAATATGGTCCAAAACATAGCCTTAATTGAAATTAAGTACATCAGCACTCTCAATTCATGAAAAGTTGATATTTTGATGATAGTTTGGACAAACTCGAAATATTCAAATAACA